GGAGCAAATGAATAAGTACTGCACAAGGTATTGACTACCTAATGAGTAAGTAAATGAGTAGACGATTTGACAGATTGACGAGCATCTACTAAATGGAAATGTTCGTGGAGAGGCACTTGGATGGTTTAGCGACGATTGCTTAGACGGGGGGTTGACAGCGCATTCATGGTCTTGCGAGTCAATGAGTTTAGAATTGAAGAGTGCATAAACTGTACAAATGCTTAAAGAAATTGAGGGTAGATGGAATAAGAATGAACAAACTCAGGAAAGAGACGCATGAGTCCGTGACAGATTAGAGGGAGACTTCGGAATTTGTTGTCGGACCTTTAACAGACGCAGGAATGTGGAACGGGTGCGGAGAGCAGAAAGGTGATGCAATAAATGATCTTGAGTCCCTTGAGTGAGAAAGAATTGACCGAACAAAAACTTTGCAGTCAAGGAGTTTTAGGGTAGATGAATTAGAGGAAAAAAGAGATCAACTCGAGATGAACAAATGTGTTGACCTTGAATGGCTAAGTAGGGCGATAACTTGTGGGGCCATGAGTAATTGGACGAACGTACCTGATAGAAGAGGGCATTTGGGCATGGTACCACCGATCTAGATCAAACAGCCCAATTCGTACGATATCGGGAGCGGCACGCCACACCAAAGCAGTGAGGCGATTTGACCTAAGTCCATAGTTGTTGGGGTAGTTGGTGCCTAATGACTGGATAGAGGTGAGGAAGGCACCGTTTGCTGACCAGTGGGACGACTCATTGTCCCTGGAGGCAGTTATGGGAGTTAGAGAGGCTGAGAGGCGTTTGGAGGCACCATAAAACCCCTGCAATACGCAGAAAAAGGCGCAAAACGCACAGTATAGAATGAGGTAAGGCATAGAAGGATGCTAATATTTACAACAACGACTTACATCATATTCGTAAAGGGTGTCTTCGGTATCTGGTTGAGTGTGTTCGGTGCGCTTTCGAAACCCCAATTGGAAGAGAACAACTCTTGGACTGGAACACACATAAAACAACATTTTAGAATGCAGACAGTATAGTCACATGCAAGTAAAGGAACAAAGTATCAATCAAGAGAAGAATCATCAATTAATGAGCATAAAATGCAAAGCCTCACAAGCCTATAATTTTGCTTTCCTTTTCGACTCATTCGGTATTCAAAATTACGGCAAAAGCATCAAGACCTGACTTGGAAAAACCCTCAAAATTACCACCAGCAGAGATCTCTACAGCCCCAAACCCCTACTTTATTTAAGGCAATATGCTATTGCTATCAACAGGCAACAAGGAAAGAATAGTTCACTTTAT